TTTTGCCTTCTACTGAAGAGTTCTGCAAAATTATCCTGATTTTCCATATGTTGATTGAACAAAACGCCCACTGATTCCACAGGTTAGGTTTCTCACGATCTTACGAACATGATATTACTCCTTTTCCTTGCTATGGTGATTTTGCATGGTTTAAATGAATGCACAGTCTTTGAACGTTCATTGAGGTCAGCGAATGAAATAAAAGCGGGCTGGGGGATATGTTTCTTAGATCAGACCTATTCTGCGCCAATTTTCAAATTCTGTCTTCTTCTCTTTCTTCAGTGAAGTTAACCCTATCACCAACAGAATAAAACTCTAAGTCGGCAATTAACGTCGTGGTTGTAACTTGAAGTCTGTGATTCTATGGAGCAATATATTTACATCTACATCCACATCTACATTTAATAATTTGTAACGCTTTCGCATCCAATCAATTTATTTTCATACGGTACTGAACTCTTACACCTGACCGGTTGAATCTTTCAATCAAATGAAAGCTATCGGGCAGCACTCCATAAGATACTGTTTATTATCCTATTATGAAGGGCGCTCGAACATTCAAGTCTGTAGATCTGTGGTATGTGCCAGCTTTTCGAGTTGTTTGCAAATCTTCCCTTCATACCTGCTTCTATTATAAACCGCCAGTATTTTCATTTACGGAGTCATGAGCTCGGCAAAGGCATAAAAGGACGCCTGCAACTGATCTGAATATAGCTAAATTGATAATGCACGAAAACTTTGTCTACTGCAATTATGAAGACTATGAACTGTTAATCAAACTAAAGCCGGAGTGCGAAAACGACATATCACGCGAACTTGTTTACAACACTGAGCATCGGATTGAAAAAGACACGAATTTACCTATATTGTCTCGTTTAAAAGGCTCATAACAAGCACGTAAGAAGGAAAATAGAAGAGTATTCAGTTGATCTCCACCATGTGTAACATTCCACTTGTTTCGATGAGGAAAACAAACCAAACTCTAGATAACCATAACAACAATTCCGGACACTGATCGAAATCTTTCGACAATGTTCGCCTTCTCCGTCACTTTCCGAACAACTTCCGACTAAACGACACGTCACGTAAATCAAATATTCGAGATTTTCTCATCCGTGTAGACAATTGAAATGAAAGCTAATAAGAATACAGTTCACGCGTGTCGCTGATAATAATATTGCACAAAGCGATTCTAAATATTTAAGTACTTTCATGTTGTTCTGTTTATTTTTCAACATTGTATGCCCCCACTCCACAAACTCCTTACATTTGATCATGTGCTTTGTACAAAGTCTATTAAATCGTCAGTTTTTGCAGCGACAGTTCATTCCGTCCATGAAATGCCCGCTTGACCGATCACTACAGGATGACTAAGCAAATTTGTCCTTTTTCCCGGTTAGTGAATAAATGTTCTGTATGTACGTCAGTAAATAAGTAACTGTGTTTATTTCCTCTTTTGCTAGTTCATAAACTTCTCTTTAAGAGGACATAATGACGTCAATTAGGTCTAAACAGTGCCAAAGAGTCAAACTGTTTGTCGATAGTTTGTAGCCAGAACGCACTGTGCTAACAACAGCGCGAGAATTTATTGAAAAGTGTTAAATGTCCCATTCTTACAAGCAAACACAGATTTAGACACAAAATACATGGTTAAGGGTAGTAAAATGGTCATCGTTGCGGTCGACATTCAAGTTTTTCTGATGAGCAAAACAAATCAAACTTAAGATAACCATAACAACAATTACGAGCGTGGACTAGAAATTTTCGGCAATGTTCGGGTTCCGTTGGTTTCTCGAGCAAAACACGATCACTTGCGACGTAAGCAGTCAACCGGATCAACAACTCAAATGAAAGCTTATGAGCAATACTTTCATATGTGCTAGTGCGGTTAACTTGCTTGTATAAGCCGTTATCAAAACGTTGTGGATGAAACCCTAGTGTGGACCATTCAAAAGAAAGCTATTGAGCAGTACTTTTAAGTGGTACTGTTTATTAAGCTGTACAAGGTGGTGCTAAATTTTTAGTCTGTGGATGAAACCCTTGTGTATGGCCATTTAAATGAAAGCTACTGAGCAGTATTTTCATGTGGTACTGTTTATTATGCTTTATTGTATGGCTCTGTCTCACAAGGAGTGGGAACTACCAAATTTACGAATTTGACTGGCTAAAATCGATATTGAAAGCGGTCTAGATTTTCCCATCTAGACCGGCATCTAGATTGGTAATGTTTTGCAGTGAAAAAGTTGCAAACTAAAATGCAAAATCATTGACTATTTTCATCTAACAATATTTATTTATGGAAGTGCCAAAAAGCCCGATGAGAAAAAAAAAGTAAAGAGGACGAGCAAAATTTGGCAGAATTAAATTCAGCTCATCGCCGTTCGCAAACAAAATGACAGTTAGTACAAACCAGTTACATTAAACGAATTAAATTGTTCTTGTTTGCGCCATATAAAAATTTCTTATTAACCGAGCTTAGTCGGTCTGTATGGGAGAATCTTAACCTCGGTCGTGTTTACAGACCTCGGTAAAGATTCTCCCATACAGACCTCCTGCTCGGTTAATAAGAGCTAGGTACAAGGTGGTGCTAAGTCTGTGGATGAAACCCTTGTGTGTGACCGTTCAAATTAAAGCTACTGAGCAGTACTTCCATGTGGTTTTGTTTGTTTTCAGACATTATAAAATGCGCGAACTGCAAGCCTTTTTATTTTTATCACTCTTTGCAATTACGTCGTCAAATTACACAATGACATTTCATGGATCTTAAGAAATGTGTTCAAAGATCGTTACAGAATGACTAAGCAAATAATTCAGTTCCTCTTAGTTTTCTCCGTTAATCGGCGGTTTCTGTTTACACGTAAATGAGATGATTGCTTCCAGTTAGAAGAGTATTAGCCATTGTTGAACATAATTTAAAAGTAATCTACCCTTGATGACCTTGATATCATTACAGAATGACTAAGCAAATAGTTTACTCTGTTSATCAATAAGTRTTCTGCAAATACGTAAATAAGCTATAAATACGATGATTATTACCAATTGACAAAGCATTGGACATGAGAGCAGTTGAAAAACACTCTACTCTTGAGTGATTTCCTTTGTTAGGTGTTAAATGTTCAAGAATCATGTTAAACAAGACCACTCTCACTAATCAGTGAACTGAATCTGCCAGACTTAAGATAGCGCCCGGGGGAGCTAAGACTCCCATCTGAAAAGGTCGGGGATGCCCGGGGGAATTCCCATATAAAAAGAACAGAGGTGCTCGCCAGAAATTTTGAAAAGAACCCCTAAGAGGTACCAACATCCCGTCTTGTGGACGTGGCTTGATTTTTTTGATTTTTTTTCACCTGTAAGTGGTGCGAATTCTCATATTCAAAAGCTCCCGCTCTGGACCTTTTCAGGCTAAACACCCTAAGGGGACCCCTAAGGGGTACCAAAACCGCTTTTTTAGCCCTAAAACGTACGACGGGTACCCCCGTCCTTTTTATATTTGAGTCCCACTCCCCGGGGTGGGGACAGATGATCGTCGTCTCGCTTAGGGTGATAAATCCCAGAATTTGGTCTCACTTAGTGTTCAGAACGAAACGCCACTAGCACTAATGAAATATCTTTTTAGGGTTGTACTCGAAGAATTGAAATTTCAAAATGCTGTCACGTCAAAACACGGCCAGATTAGTCTCCTTTAGGGGTTTAATTCTAATTTTCCGACGAGCATATATCCCCGACCTTTTTACATGAGGTTCCACTGCCCCCTCCCCCTCCCCCCTTTCCCCCATCCCCTTGTGACTTGTCACGCACTCCTCCTGCGTGGGAGGCTACAGTTAAGAGTGTTGCGAGTCTTATGAGGACTTGAAGTCGTCATACGTCATTTGTCCCACTGTATGACGTATTTTTGACGTTCCTTTGAGCGTGAAAACGGCAAACTATTTGTCAGCAGTAATTTACAACCCACGCAAATCTTGTCAGTTAAGTCACAATATTTGATCCCTCTTAGCAATGCAAAACTCAATTCCCGACATTAGCCGGAAGTTTCACCGGTCTATTTATACACTTAATCTGACGAGCAAAACAAACAAACAAAACTCTAGGTAATCATGTCAACCAACGAGAGCGCGAATTGAAATTGCTCACATTTTCCGAACAACATTCCGAAAAGCTCACGAACCAAAGGCGAAGTAAATCTGGTGTTTAGAGATTCTCGGCCATCCATGTAGACCCTCCGTTCAGATAATAACAAACAATATTTTTGTATGTAGTGCATACTAGCTGGTGTGTAATAAAGTGCTCTGTCTGTGATGTACTTCTTGTATGAGGTATTCATTGATTGCTATTTGTTTGTGCTGAATGAATTTGAACAAGACGCTTTTGCGAATCAGAAAACTACTGTCCATGTACACATTAAGGCGTGTTACTTTATGAGACCTTGAAAGTGATTGTACCAGGGATCGAATAAACAGAAACTTGGCTATAATCTCAACCTACGCACACGGTCACCTACGCTATGCACACGGTAACCTTGGAATCAAGTTGTCAGTTGACATTTCAGGAAGGAATTAAAAGAAACTTTAAAATTATAAACTTACTGACGTATTCAGTAAAACACCAAAGAGGTGACAATAAAGCAAATAGGAATAAAAATAAGTAAGATTAGGGAAGATTGAGTGGATCAACCTCGAACGACGAATTAAAAAAGATTTGGCTCAACTTTTGAAAATGCGTCAATCTTTGACCATGTTGACGCAACTCTCTAAGGCTGTTTTACAATATGTTCTACTCTGACCTCAAAATAACGCACAGGATCGATCAGAAATCAAACATTTTCCCAGTCCTTAGCTATGATCAATCCTTTTTGCTTGAAACTTTTGTAGAGTGGAGAAAGTTTCTGGTGGTGCTAAGAAATATCGAAACCAAGGCGGCACTTAAATGAATTGCGTATTGATGACGCCAGAAAAATACTTCCAACGCAGAGAATCAAATCTGTGGACGTCGTGATGTGAGTATTTCGTGAGAAGAGAAACATAATAGACGAGATTGAAAAATGAACCTGGATTTGAATACCTCTGAGGATACACTTCTATCCAAAATTTGATACTGTCTAACAGATAAATAAGGACGGCAAAGGCCAATTTTTAAATTTAAAAATTGCATGGTATGGTTTCGTTTGAAAGTTTCATTTTCGATCAGTAGCTATCACAAATAATGACATAGGCAGAAAATTCATTTTACGTATACCAAAGCGGTCGACTTACAGAGTTATAAACTGCTTGGTTCATAACAAAACGATTAACTTACCTACCCGCAAACTGCTCATATTTAATACCACTTAAACAGATTGTGCAAACGCGACGCAGTAGATTTTTCCCTCCCTTTCCTATTCGTTCTTTCGGTCACATTTTTAGCAGTTTTCATGCGAAGTTAGGAGGAAGATGACGATTAAAGAGTATCCAGGCAGAATTCAGACACAAAAGAATTAAATACAGACGTCCCATGGTAATATTAATGATTTTTCGTGGACGCGTAGTGACGATCAATTCCGCATTTAAAAGTAATTATAATAGGCAAACTTTAACTCTAACAATTCTCTCTTTATCTCTAACAATTTCCCCAACCAAAAGACTACAAGACAATTGGAAAAACAAAATTAAATCTAAAGTCGGGGGGAAGATTGACTCAGTTGGGTTTCCCATTTTTTCAGTAGTGAAAACATTTTTTTTTTTTTAATCAGACTTCAAAAGTAGTGACAGGTTATTACTTATTTACCCCACCCTACTAAGTGGTATGTTAACTTCACTACTCACTCTACCCCTGACCTGGTGTAGGTGATCCAACATCTTCTAATCTTCTCTGATGAGCTTCAAAGAGCGTCAGATAATCAGGATCGTCTTGTTTCTGTGTTTTGATTATTCCGTGATGTTGGCGCACATCTTCCAGTGACGCTTCAGATCCTCCGTCTGAAAATTCTGAACAACGCATTGTCACTGCTCAGTACAGATTGGTTCAAATCAGTATTAAAATTTTAATAATAATGCTATGCAGTGCAGATTTGCGCTTGCGAAGTTCTCTTAAGAGATATTAAGAAGAGCTTGTTAAATTCATTAATTGTCCAATCCGAGCAAGAATAATTGTATATAATAGAGAGATTAAGCATGACGTTACGTCCAACGGCAAACGGCAAAAATGAAACTTTTGCCGTCTGTCTTCAGCTGTCTATACAGTAGAGTGAAAATATTGTATTTGTGGTGAATAGTAGGAGAGATTTTTCTATTTAGTTAATGATTAGAAGAAAACAACACAAATTCAGAGTTAATCTTTGCCGTTTGCCGTCTGCTGTAAACGTCATGCTTAAACTCCCTAATGACTTCTACCTTTTTACCTAATCTGTAAGAAAGTTAAAACTGATTGTGACATGACGTGTATAAAAGACTGACAAATTTATACTTATTTTTACAATTAATAATTAAGTTTGCAGTGTCACCCAATGGGTCCCTTGTTTTATGAGTCAAAGGAGTTCACGAGTCAATGGGTCAATGAGTCAACTGACTGATAAGCGCGCGCGGTTTTTCACAAAAATTATTCCGATTTCCTTGACGTTTCTGTCACGTCCGTGGGCTATGGAAAGCATGACCGGTGCCAGGGCGGTGGAAGGACTCTCATATAAAAAGGTCGGGGATGTTTATCGTCTCGCTCAGGGGTGAAAATCAAGGATTCTGGTCTCACTTTGGGCGCTCGTGAGGAAAAGCCACTATTTTTAGCTGTCAAGGTATCTTTTTAAGGTGCACGCCAAGAAAAAATATTGAGAAACGTTCTTATTTCGGTTTTTAGGCTCGATTTCCGCCGTTATCTCGAGTCCGGTCTGCTTGGGCAGGATCCTATCCTGAACAGCGGCTGGTAATCAAGCCTATTATGTTTTAAGTAATATCTTTCAGGGGTCGAATAAAGTTTGAGCCACAACCAGATTGATCTCCATCAGGGGTTTGATTCGTGTTTTCCGACTTGCATTCCCGGACTTTTCATATGCAGGTGGGCCGGCGGCAGCGAAGGAATGCACAATGTAACTGCAACACAAGACTTAAAAAGTGTAGCTTATTCGTATGGGGAGGCCCTAGGACCACTGAAAAGTTTGCATCTTTTCTGGCTATCTGCTAAGCCCCTCCCAAACCCTTTAATCATTCAAGGAGGAGTTCAGTGCCAATGCTTCTATCAGCCTTTCATGCTGTGGTACATAAAAGTGTAGTTTAGCGGGCCCCCAGGGAGGACATTCAAAAAAATTGCACAAAAGGGAAACAACTTTGAGAGGGGCACCCGGAGGGGACTCCAATATGAAAAAGGTCGGAGATGACCGTCAAAAAATTTGAATTAAACCTTTGAAGAAGAACAATCTGGGCTTGGCTTTAACTTTCTACCGAATAGCCTCGATTATCAGCTGCTGTTCAGGAAAGGAGCCTGTGCTAGTAGACTTGACTTGAGAGAGCGGCGGAAATTGAGCCTAAAAACGGAAATGAGAGCATTTTTTACTGTTATTTTTTCAAGTGCACCCTAAAAGATGCTTTGACAGCTAAAACTAGTGTCGTTTGGTCCTGGACATCCTAAGTGAGACTAAAATCCTAGATTTACACCCCTAAGCAAGACGACAAACATCCCCTACCTTTTCATACGGAAGTCTCCCCAGATATTAGCTTACGTATAAGTGAATACAAAAACCTACACTTTTCACTCACCATCATCCTCTGCTTCCTCCTCAGGCACCGTTTCTTCTGCCGCCTCATCTGAAGCTTTTGCAGACCTGGCATCAGTTCCAGAAGACACTGAACTAACCTTGGAGGTCCTGTTGTCTTCCACTAAGAAAATGTAGCGATCTCCATCCTGGATGAAGCGTGTAGATTTTTGTGCTGTCGAGGCATGGCTGCTGCTGAGAACTATTGGAACTAAAGATTTCAGCCATGTATTAGCTTGTGCATTACAAAATCGTATATCTTATGTACACAGAAATGTTGAATTAAATTGCTGTTTGTTTGAACTCTTTCTACCCTGGTTTTTGCTCCTCCCTAGCTTCACAAACAAATTTGAGCTATACAGCATTGCAACAAAGAAAGAAAACTTCTAGACACAGGGTAACGTTTTTCAAAAACAGATGGAGATTTCTTTAAATTAAACTGAAACCTCCACCTTTTTGAAGAAATCCCAGGAGAAGACCATGGCACACAGAGACAACTTAACATTAAGACATAAAGAGGCAAACAAGGTGATTGTATTACAACAAAATATAATAAGTCTGGTAGGTTCTTACAGGATGTCTGTACCAGGTTCAACTTTAAGTAAAACTGCAAGTAGACAAATGACTTTGGGACACCTCTTGTTCAATTTTAATTGCGACTTTAGGTTTATCTAAGTATGTGTATTACTATAGAAGGTTTTATCTCCCCCTCTTATTTACCCTTTAGTCTTACAGTGATGGGTGTATCCCTTTGCAGGACCCCCCACTCCCCACCCCCTAATGTAGATGTAAATGTAGAGACAAAGTGTAATGATCAGGAACCACAGTAGAAGACAATACGACATAATTTATTTCTAACAGTTTGTTGCTCCCACTAAAAAGACTCCTTCTGCAGCGGGCCTGCACTGCATTATACTCATTTTGAAACTTTCAGTAAAGGCCCTCCTCAAGCATTGTGAGCTTGGTCATGTAAAAAGCCACAATGTGTCATTCAATAATGATTTTAGAATGCCTTTTGCCTTAAGGGGGCACTGAGCCATGTTCTTAAAAACCACATTAAATTTTGTGACTGCAACTGAGGCATCACCTAATATAATTTGTGTTTCACATACCTTTGTCAAATGATAGAAACAAATCTCTGATGTGACTAGTTCCAGGATTCTTTGAAGCATTGTTCTTTGCTTCCTCTTGTTGATTAACACTTGCTTGTGGTACTGAGGTCTTCTGCTGTTGATCTGTTGAAAAAGAAGCTAAAATCAAGAGCCGTGATTCATAAGCTATCTGTCTGGAAAAAACTGTAAGTATCAATACTACTTGAAGAAACATCTTATACAGCTTTATAAGCGAGTGACCTGAAGAACCAATAAAGTAACCTTCAGATACATACTATGGCCAGTGTAATCATTTTTTATAACAAGATCTGTGTCCAGATTATTTAAAGAAATATGATGTAGAAATGTAACGTTTGTGTCTCTGATTTTCTGACATGACATTTGGGTAGAAAAAAATTCAGATGGATCATAATTTAGTGGCATAATAATTTGAATGAAAATGAAAATTCAGGGAAAATGAAACAATTATCAATACCAGAAAGCTAAATAATAAAACATCTCCAAGCTATTTCTTTCTCACTGCATCAGCCCTCTCCTCCTTGTGAAGGAGAGGGAAGTACTAAAAGAGCAGCTGTAACTGTAGAAATAGATAAAAATATTTTGATTAACTATACTATTTTCAAATAATAAAAGACAGACAGCAATACCTTCTGCTCCTTTAGCTTCTGTTGGATTTGGCAGTGAAGGACTGTTTTTGTCTGTGCCAACCTTTACCTCTGTTGAGGAAGCTGGACCTACAGAGCTTCTTGTTTCAGTGGTCTTGTGGGGCATCGCAACTAAACTAGCTACACCTTGCATTCATGCAACCTTTAAAAAATAAAACCAAGAAATATTGTTTCTGACTAAAGAAAACGATTAAGACACTAAGTGGAAGTGTTCACTGTTCTAAATGAAAAACCAGTGTAAGAATCTGTGAAGCTTGTACTGTTTTAAACTTAGACTTATATTTTAAATACTGTCCCCAAATTAAATGAAAAATCTGCATCAGTCAGAGTTGTAACTTTGTCTGACATAGCTACGTTCACTAATGGTACTTATCAATGAACGACTTTACTTTAGTGTTTCATGAGAAAAACTCAAGCTCAATTTAAGTTACTAAAATGACATGCCAAAACATCTGCAAAAATTACACAATGCTATTAATCAATCAATACATCTAAATAATTTAACTTAAGCATGTAGACACAAGACGTAAGTGAAAGTATATTAGAGCACACTAATCAAAAACATTGTCGTGAATGTTTCTATGGCAATCTATTGCTATGGCAATGTGTCAGTCCTTCAACTGTGTTATAAAGAGAAATTTTTAAAAAGATTGCAGCACGCTCTTGTTACATTCGAGTAGCCGACCTTCCAAAATTCGACATTTCCTTTCTTAAAACTGTCCAAGAATTATTATTTAGGTTTATTAATCATACCTTTCTTGGAAATCTTTTTATCGTCAAACAGAAGAAGGAGTTTTTCAACGGTTTCTCTATGCTTACTGCAAGTGTTTGCGAATCCCAAACGAATTCAAAATGGCGAACACGAGAGTGATGAGAAACTCGTCCCCATGGCCCCAGGGTCTTCTCAGAATTTCGTGGCCGCCATCTTGAATCTTTGTGCCGGCGCAGGTTCTGGCATTGTGCCACTTTCCTCTTGAAAACCAATTCTTGTAAGCTACGCCTTCGCATTGATTACTTCCGAGCTTGGCATGGGAGCCCATGTCCATGCTTCATCTTTAGAGCTGGTTTCTCCCCTCTTATTTTTCACAATATACCTCAATAGACCCGCTCACGTTACATGCGCCTCTAAGCGGACGCTTTGAAAATAATCCCCCATGGATAATACAAACAAATGAGAAATTCGTCTTACGTTTTTCTTTAAGTAAAAAAAAAACAAACGTTTTGAAATTTTGCTTAACGAATCCATGCGTACGCTTTTGCCTCTATCAAGTTTGTTTCACGCCTAATAACCATAGTCTATTCAGAGGCGTGTTGGGCGGGTCGTAGACCAGGCCGCTTGAACGGTGAGCTCAAGGTTTTTTATCAGCTGATAGTTTAATGGCGACACAATGGGGTCGTCAGAGATGAAAGAATCATGGACGCCGCAGCAAAATAAAGAAATGGTTGCTCGGAGGATCAAAGAAAAATATTCTTCAGGCATAGAGCAGTGCTGTTTATTTTTCTGTCTTTATTTTTTCTGTCTTAGCTGTCCTGACTTTGTTTTTCTGTTTTTACTCAGTTTTAAACTTGTTGACAGTCATGGAAGGAAAGGTTCAAGTGCCACCGACTCCAGCTTGTGATTTGCAGGGTTCGCAGTTACAGAGTCTGGAATTGTTAAAAAAGTACGAAAGTCCACCGACTAGTTTTCCAGAACCAACTTTGTTATCACGGTCTCTATTCTTCCGGCATCCATCCTGCCGGCCTCGTCCCATACCAAGAGAAAATGGAGGGGAAAGAAGAGAAACCCTGGAAAAGGGTGACTCCTGTTCAATGGTTATTTACTCACCTGATCAAGTCAAGCATATAGGTTGAGAGAAAAGCTACAAGGGCCTTTTGCAGTTATGGACGGTCAAACCTGAGATCGAATTAGCGCCTCCTCTCAAATAAGCGCCCCTCCTATGGGCCAAAATTTAAAATAAGCGCCCCCCTCCTCTCCCCGTGTTTTATGGAAGAGCACTGAGACAAGAAAGGATGTATAGTTTTAATTTGGTCGTTTTCAATCGCAAGCAAGTAATCATCGACTCATTCAAGCACTGCACACTGACCGTCGCAACCAATGGTACTGAAGATCTGCTGATTCATTGCCTAAAAGCCCAACCCACCTTGTGCAGCAGGCTTAGACCAGCTAAAGGGGATATATTACACAGTTTTTCAAGAGAGACAGGAGTCTTCCGAGACTTCTGTGAGACTGACACATACATATATTACAAAAACCGCGGATCACATCTGACCACGATTTGGGAAATATTAAATAAGCGCCTCCCTCGAATAAGCGCCCCCGTCTTCTCCTAAATTTGAAATAAGCGCCCCGGGCGCTAATTCGAGGATTAACGGTACGATGAGGGCAGGCGATGAGGGTGAATGTTGTTTTACGCCGCATTCATCACGGCAACTGGTAAGCCAAACCCGCTTATGAAAGTCCGCTATAAAAAAAAAAAAGCCTTCAATGGTGTTGTTCTACCAAGTCTCGGGCGAGAAAGCTTCCGAATGACTCAATTCAGAGCCAGTTGAAGAGAAAGAGAGTAAACGCGCACGTGATTTTCTCACTGATAGGCTTTCCCGGCTTCATTGATATATCAGTTCTGCCACAGCAAGAGAAGAAACACAAACTGCACAGGAAACAATAGGACGGGAAGCTTCTCGCGTACCTATATGTACACCTTTCTGATATGCACCAGAGACTTAAAAGCGAGATTATAGCAAATACGTAGCAAGTACGTCGCGCCCACCATGTACCACGCTTAATCTCTCTTCTTTTGCCATAAAGAGAGCCTGGGATCGATTCCTTACAGTGCGTGCGAGAGGTTGGAGTCAAGGAGTCTTATTTTCTTCAGGTTTAGGCCGATACAGTGCCCCCATCCCATTTTAAAAAAGAAACAATCTCCTTGCATTTCGTTCACATTTACGCGTAACTATAACAGGGACCGAGGTCAGAAAATAATTATTATGAAGATTTAGCTTGTAGTTGGT